TGAAATCGTACCACGTGACCTGTAAAGTTTTGCACACAGCACCAAGACTGTCTTCCTTCTACTACGCTACTGTTTATTTTTGGCGATTTAAGTCGTCATGTCGCTGGCAAGATTATTGACGAAAAATATACCTATGGCTATCAGGGTTACGCTATTTCATGGAGAGATAAATAAATTCCAGCGGCTCATCCCTATCACTAAACACAAAGTAAGTACCCCCTTTTTACAGAGCCGGTAAACCTTCAACAACGAGCAACACACATACCTGAAAGTCAGCTTTAAAAGGCAACCGATTTGACTAACTGCGGGACAATATGACGGACAATAACCAACGACATCGATTTCATTATAGGCTCCTGATACATATATATATATCCGCTAAGGGGAGGGTTGAGCGCTAACAAACATGTTTAACCCGCCACATTCTTTATGTGCCTGTCCCAAGTCAGGAACCTGTAGTTCAGTGGTTGTCGTTGGTTCATGTCTGTCATATTTGTTTTTCGTAAATTGTTTTGTTATAAATTAGGCCGTTAGTTTTCTCAATTTAATTGTTTCATATTTTTCATGTCGGGGCCTTTTATAGCCGACCATACAGTCTGGGTTTTCTCATTTTTGAAGGCCGTAAGGTTGCCTATAATTGTTTACATCAACTTTATCTGAATTTTGGTGGATAGTTGTTTCATTGACAATCATACCACATCTCCTTATTTTCATAAACAGACAAACAACAGTACAACAAACACAACATAGAAAACACACGACTGGATAACATGAACCTCGCCGAAACTGAGGGTGATCTCAGGTGCTCCTGAAGGGTAAGCAGATCCTGCTGTACATGTGGTACCCGTCGTATTGCTTATGTTAGTACAAACCCGATGACAAGTCTAACTAAGTGATGTTCTACAGGCAGCGGATAGTAATCTTTTGTTATATATTAACTTTGTTTATCAGTTAGAGATTTTAATCTTGTATAGTACCTTTTCTAGACGTGGGATAATTAATGGCTCGACATAATGACAATGTATAAAAAATATAAAAAGTTTTCTATTGTTTACCTTTCTATATCTTTGACATGAAGAGCAAAGCAAGTATCTCCAAATATTAAGAGTTCGATAGAAACAATATACAAATCTGCTCAATATGTAAGACATTAAAAACTAAGTAATTTGACTTTTCAGAATCTAAGGGACCGTGGATAATTTCATTGTCCGTACCCCAAACATAAAAAAAAAATAATATCAATTCATTTGTTGAAATTCAATTGTTTGGGACGTTGTAGGCCAATCCCAGTGTTTTTGTGTACATTTTGTACGCTTTTGAAAATTTACCCAGAATGCATTAGATTCTGAAACAACTAAGAGATAATGTAAAACGTGTCGGAACATTTACCATAAGTGAATGAGATAAATAATAAAAAACCGTATCGAGCATGAAAATGAGTTCATTGTCAAACAATTGAAGGAATAGAATGAGAAGTAAACAAACTAGATATAAGAAGATGTGGTATGAGTGCCAACTAGTCGATATTCATATATATTTGACTTTCATTGAAATGCTGGCTTATTACTTATTCAGATGTCAATAGAATAAGACACAAAATGTACACATACGTTCAAACATTCATACTCAGTAGCAAAATATTTGTCATATGATTACAAACATCTTGTTCAAGAAGTATACAGTGCATATATATGTCTTAAATAATTGTGTCCGTTCAGAAACATGCACTTTATTATTGTATTTCCGATGTATCTGATTATTTTCTCTCTTTTTGTGTTCAAAACCATATTATATGTTTTGTTTGTTTTCCATCTAGTGTAACATTGTTTAATTTATACATTCTACTCATTGAGTATTACAATGTGAAATGTTCTTTTTTGAATTAGGAAACGGATTAATATAAGTTAACAGCTTGTTTCCGGATCCTATTAATTGATCAATTGCATTATGCCAAATTGTGTACATTATTTAACTTGAAATTAATTAATAAAATATGTTTACGCTAAAATGTACACATATGAAATACAAAACAATGTATATGGTTATCAAACACAACCTCAATTCAATCCGCATAAAGAACAAATGTAGTGAGAAAATAACTGAAACTAGTGAATTGGCCTCAGACGGGTCCATGACAAAATTTGACATCAGAATAAGGAATAGAAAAAACATAGATAATGGATCCGAAACCACTGACCCATGGGAACCGCTGGTACAGAAAACATTCGCACTTCATCAAAACGACTACGAAGAAATTGTAGACGACCTGGTTTTTAGCGGTTATGACAAACATAAAGCGATGACGTCACAGGTCCACCACATAAATGCTAACTGAAAACTACCTCTTCATATCTATACTATTTATATGGCAAAATTTGGGGTACTTTGCTTATATGCATAGCAGCCATATTGCCTTATCATGACGACAGCCATTGCAATAGGATTATGCATGCCCTTAAATAAAAATGCAAATATGCCAATTCCTAAATCAAATCAACAGTTTGTTCGCATATAGGTAGATTATACATGTTGTTTTCATTTTGTTTCTGTACAAATGAACATTGTCTACTTTGAAATCTTTCGGCTTTTTCAGTTTGAAAATCGGAAGCGTGACCGTAGTATAATTGCTATATAAAATAACGAAATATAGTAAAAAGCAAAATTCAAAATAGAAATAAAGATAAAAGAAGATGTTGTTCATGATTTGTTCGCATATAGGGAAACACCTTGCATGTTGAATTTCAGGTTAAACATCTTTTATCTTACCTGCTTTCTTTAGTTTTCGGCCAAATTCTTTAAAAAAACATGATAATTTCATCCTACCCATTTCGTGAAAAGTCATATTTTCAGCATTATCCCTTAGAATTACAAAATATATTTGTAAATATCCGTCAAAGGAATTTTGAAAAACACATTAGTTTTAGATCCAAGACGGAAAAAGACTGGATTATCCGTAAATTTGATATAATTTATATTTTCAAATTACAACTAAGGGAAATAATTAAATCAAAAGGGTCCAGGTCACGTGGTGCAAATCATATGCATAAAGTACCTAGGATTTTGCCATATGTAGCGCTGTTTGTTTCGGTCAATAGACAATGACACTCTATATGCTATTTTTTCTGTTTTTATGACAAGTAGTATCTGAGCCTCAACACAATACTGAGGTGCTGGTATGGGTGGTAAAGGGCTGAATTAAGTGCCGACGGACGCTGACAGAATTTAGAAATTGCAAGCGAAAACATCGTGAATTCGATGATAAACGAATAGCTTTGTCTCATAAATAGAATTGGGATGTACAATTTCATAGCTCTCACTATTTCACTAAGGGAGTTATCTCTTCAAAAATCACTAAACATTTAAATAACATACTATTAGTTAAGAGAAATCAAGCTTCTCAATATTTAAAATTGGTGTTTGTCAAACTGCTATATATCCAATGACAGTATTCCTGAAAATTGTGCGTTCAAATTTCTTGAAATTTTTGATGTTTTTGTCCACAGGTCATAACAAATATTATGTCAAAATTTTATGAAAATTAAACTAGCCAAATATATTTTAGTCCACCTGTTGGGTATCTCCTTAAGTCAAAAACTATTTTCTGTTACACTTATTTCTATTAAAAATAAGACAGCTAATCCCTCGGTAAACATTGGCACTTAACCTGCTCATATCCTTTTTTGCTTGCGATGCACCTAAACGTTTTGATTAAAAATAAGTACTGATGTCAGTGCGCTCGAAACGCGTTCTTGGAAAACTTCTCAGTGGATGGCCGCTCGGTGCAAAAGATTTGGAAACCATGTTTGAAATAGCAAAGAATCTTAAATAAAGGCAACAGTAGTATACCGCTGTTCGAAACCCATAAATCGATAGAGATCAAAACAAATCCGGGTTACAAACTAAAACTGAGGGAAACACATCAAATATAAGAGGAGAACAACGACACAACAAAAACACAGCATTAAAATGTAACACACAGAAAATGTTAATTAAAAGTGTTAAATGTTAAACTTGTACAACCAAATCCTTCTATGGTCATACATATCAAATTGAAAAGGTATAGTTAAAATGTACGTGCAAAACAATTGGAAATAAAAATGTTCATAATTTAATGATTACAAGCTACACCTCAAATGTTTTTTTTTATCCGCAGCTATAGAGAAAACGATGTAATTAATATGTAACAGCTATTTTTGGTATTTTTTCTTTTATCTGAAAGAACTCCAAGCATTGAGATACATGGATATAATCATAATCTGTAATATAATAAAATTGAGAATGAGGAATGTGTCAAAGAGACAGCAGCCCAACCAAAGAGCAGAAAACAGCCGAAGGCCACCAATGGGTCTTCAACACAGCGAGAAAATCCCGCAACCGAAGGCGGGTTTCAGCTGGCCCTAAACAAAAATGTGTACTAGTTCAGTGAAAATGGACGTCATACTAAACTCCAAAACATATAAATGAACTGAAATTAAAAAAACATACAAGACAAACAAAGGCCAGAGACTTCTGGCAATGATACATAAATTAACAAAAGACAACTATCAGTTACTGACATACCAGCTCCAGACCTGAATTATTAAAATCAAATTTTTCGATAGCAGTCTAAAGCTAAAACGATAAATACTTGATCATACTGTGGTATGAATTACATGAATACCTAGGAAAAGTTGATGATGGCATTGGCTTTCTCTTCTTAACACATGTATCTCTGTTGATATTACATCGAACATGGAAGGCACGAGGAGACGCTACCAGAGATCATTAACATGTAAGGACAAGACAGAACATGTTCGATAGAATATAACAGTTATTTGAGACTGAAATAATAACTTGTCAACAAGATTTTTTTTATAGTATTGTTATAGTTGTTCATCATATTCAGAAATTATTTTCAATTTTCTGAATAATATCAATTCTTTTCCATAAAAATGATTTTTCATAACTTTTTAACTTCTTAAAAAATTTTAAAATTTCAAAATATGAACTCGTTGACATACCTTGCAGCCGCCAGGATATAATAACTTGACTAATATGCTCGCACCTCTCCCTAATAAATCCTAGATGATTTGTGCATTTTATTTAAATTGTTTGTAAACCAAATAGTTTAATAAACTACCTATATGCATATATTTTATTGGAAATGAATAAAGATTTTAATCTGAAAGTTTCAAATAGAAATTTACAACTTATTATTAAGTGCGTATGCATCAAAGCGCGACTCTTCCTAATTTAAATTTTGATTTCTTATTACTCTTAATGCATTGTAACGTATTGAACGAAATAAAGTCCTTATTCTAGATAACAGTTTTACTTAAATCTGTGTTTTTTTTTTATACAAATCACGACACTATTTACCATTTTCGCCGTTCTAACGTATTTACCAAAATAGAAAAAAAAATAAAAAATATTCGTTTTTATACATTGCCTTTATAAGTGTGTAAAAGGGTTTAACAGTATTATTTTTATCTTAAGAGATAACACTATTTAAAATATGTATGTAAGAAAATCAAAAGGACGTTCACGTCCTTACTTTCGAAATTCCTTATCACTAAAATGTCCGAGTTCCCACTTTCTTGGATTCCAATAAAACGATGATTGCGTTATCAAACATGATTGTCCGTTATTATATACATTTTATTGTTATTGTAACAAATTTCTTCAGAGATATAATACCCTTTTGGATTTCTGTTTAAATATAGTTAATTAGAATAATCGTTACAAGAAATGATTAAAACAACCAGAATTATTTGTTATTTGACAAACTAGTTTACTTTTTCTTAATTTAGAAATAATTTTAAGATAGAATAATTAATCAAATGTAAACGTTTGATAGTTGAGCAAATTTTAGTGTGGTGACATTATCAACTAACAATTTGTCTTATTTATTTCTATTAATTGCTCTTTCCACGACCCATGGAATAAAGTTTAAACATGGCAAATCATGCAAAACATGCTTTGATACAGACAGCATAGACCTTTTTGATGTTTGTTTTTAAAAGGTTGACAATACACCACAGTCAAAACATGTATCTTTTCAAAGAATACAAAAGTGTGCATTTGATATAAAAACATGAAAAATCGATCTTTTACCATATTTAAAATTGCCAAAACAATTTTTTGAAAGCTGAAATCGTACCACGTGAGCTGAAAATTTTTGCGCACAACACCAAGACTTTCTTCCCTACTCTACGTACGCTACTGTGATAATATGTTTTGTCATTTCTACGTGATCGCGATGGTGTTTATTTTTGGCGACTTAAATCGTAATTTCGCTGGCAAGATTACTGACAAAAAATATACCTATGGGCCATGGCTATCATGGTTACGCTATTACATGGAGAGCTAAATAAATTTCACTCAACAAAAAGTAAGTACCCAACCTACTTTTTACAGAGCCGTGAAACCTTCAACAACGAGCAAAACTCATACCGAAAAGTCAGCTATAAAAGGCAACCGACATGACAACATGCGGAACAATATGACATACAGCAACCAACACCGACTGAACTACAGGCTCCTGACATTTTTGTATCAACAAACGATTGAATATCACGTGTAACTACATAAAGAACAATCAGTAGAATATAATCAAAGTATTTATAATTAAGGTATACGAATACAAAAGCTTTATTTATATTTAGTGTATTTACAAACTACACAATATAAACTCTATAGAGCTTTTAACCGAATACATTCAAACATAAACAACAATATAAAAATTCGTAAGGGTTCCACGGAACCCAGTGTCTCGCCTACTTTTTCTGTTAATCGCAGGCTCAACAAAAATGAGGAAGTAAATCAATAAAAATATTCCTCTTGATACTATCTTTTGATTGTAAGAAGCTTCTGTCCAAGTTTGGTAAAAATCCAGGATAGTTTATGAATCTAATAAATGTTTAAAAACTTTAACTGCAGACTGAATGTAATGTTAACTGGAAGAAAACAAAATTTCCTTCTAGATACTAGCATTTGATCATAAACAAGCTTCTGTCCAAGTTTGGTACAAATCCAAAATAGTATAAGAAAGTTATTAAAATTTTAAAAACTTTAACCACAGAGTGAATGTGTTGTTTCCTGGAAGAAAAATCTAAGTCCATTAAAAGTAAAATACGGAAAAAATGGATTTATTTTTTTACAAAAAAATTTCCTTCTAGATACTAGCATTTGATCATAAACAAGCTTCTGTCCAAGTTTGGTACAAATCAAAAATAGTGAAAGAAAGTTTTAAAAACTTTAACCACAGAGTAAATGTGTTGTTTCCTGGCAGAAAATCTAAGTCCATTTAAAAGTAAAATAAGGAAAAAATGGATTTTTTTTTACTTCTGGATACTATCTTATGATCATAAACAAGCTTCTGTCCAAGTTTGGTAGAAACCCAGGATAGTTTAAGAAAGTTATTAAAATTTTAAAACTTTAACCACAGAGTGAATGTAATATTTCCCGGCAGAAAAACTAAGTCAATTTATAAGTAAAATACGGAAACAATGGAATTTTATTTTTACAAAATTTACTTCTGGATACTAGCATTTGATCATAAACAAGCTTCTGTCCAAGTTTGGTACAAATCCAAAATAGTGAAAGAAAGTTTTAAAAACTTTAACCACAGAGTAAATGTGTTGTTTCCTGGCAGAAAATCTAAGTCCATTTAAAAGTAAAATAAGGAAAAAATGGATTTTTTTTTACTTCTGGATACTATCTTATGATCATAAACAAGCTTCTGTCCAAGTTTGGTAGAAATCCAGGATAGTTTAAGAAAGTTATTAAAATTTCAAAAACTTTAACCACAGAGTGAATATTTGTGGACGCCGCCGACGACAACGACGACGACGCCGACGGAATGTAGGATCGCTATGTCTCGCTTTTTCGACTAAAGTCGAAGGCTCGACAAAAAGCATAATCATGCAAGCAAATTAAAAAAAGAGAATCACACACAACAGTAAGCACAGCACAAGCATGGCTAGGCAAATTATACATGCTAGCATAACTATAAAAGAGTAAAGTAATGTAAAATACTAGTAAGCACAACAAGTTGAAAGCTTATCTACATGCAAAACAGCGACATTCCAGACCATTCCAAGACTGTATAAAAACTCCTGAACTGAGAAAACCTGTTATCAGTTATGAAATGGTCTAGAAGACTGTTCCACAATGTAATTAAGTATCAGCAAATATGAAGTGTTTCTTACCGTACGTAGTAGTTTTGACTTGCGGAATATCCAATATATTGTTATATCTGAAAGAATACTTCGATTGACTTACCTTTAATACGTCTTGTAAACATACATAGTTATATAATAACCCGATATTATATTTTAATGATAAACTTTGCCGCTAGTGCAAAGCTATACCCAATTTTAAGATCTTAATGCATTGATTGGTTAAATTAATTATTGCATCAATGCACAAATAATTACAAAATATTGAATAATTCATAATTAAACAACCATTTTGTATGTGCTGGTCCCAAGTCGAGAGCCTGTAAATCAGAGCTTGTCGTTTGTTACAGTATATTATATCTGTTTTTCGATTATTGTTTTGCGCATCCATCAGGTCGTTAGTTTTCTCATTGAAATTGTTTTACATTTACTATTTCGGGGTTTCGCTATACAGTATGGGCTTTACAGCAAGCTGACCTATAGTTGCTCAAATCTACGTCATTTGGTCTCTGGTGGACAGCTGTCTCATTTACAATCATACCACGTATTCTTATTTTAATATTTCCGTTCTTGGCCTTTTGAAACAAATTAAGGGAGCTACCATTTGATTTTTATTGGGGCTAGGATAAAAAATGTTGTCCTGCATTTTTTTTATTTTTTTAGTTGTAATCTCTGTCCTGCCTTTTTATTTTTCACTCTATTCGGTCCTGTTTTTTTTTATTAGTTTATCCAGACTTTTTTTTACATAAATTGTCATCCTGCCTTTTTTTATTTTGCCAAGTTGCTCATCCTGCCTTTTTTTTTTACTCAAAACTACTGTCCTGCCTTTTTTTCAAATTTCATCCTAGCCCCTCCATAAAAATAAAATGGTAGCTTCCTAAGCAAATACAAAGTACAGTTATTAGAGTAGCCATCATCAAATAGAAACAAAGACTTTTAGGGAATGTAGGGTTCAACACACAGTCATCACTTGCGAACTCGAGCGATATAACTGACATTTTAACTCGTTTCCTCTATGTGAGTGTTTTTATTTAGGTCATCTTGGACTAAATTGTTATAAAGTATCAAGATTTCTTCTGACCACATGCGTAATCGAATAACACTGATAACTAACTCATGCGCTATTCTTAGATTAGTTATTCTTTAATAAATACATAAGACACTTGCACTCCTTACCTTCTAAATCGCAACAAAAATTCAATCGGCAAAACTCGGGTGAATCCCGTGCTCTACTTATTAAAGTATGGAATCGGCCCCTGCACATTAATTAAGAATACTTGCATTTTATACACGCCCTTTACTATTTATAAACTCTTTTATATACCTACATGGAGTTATTTTCTCACAGAACGATAGGTCTTTCTTTTGAAGACTCAACCTGGACGATACCAAGTTTCAATGAAATTTGATTCAAGGCATAAAAAAATGACCTGTGTAAGATTTAAAAAAAAAATGCAAACTATAATTCACCTAAATGGGCATTAGCTGTCAAATTCATGTTCACCGATTTGACTCAAATTCTCATATTTGATTTAGAACATACTAAAATGTATATTCAAATTACAATAAGTATGAATTAACAATATATGGAATCGTTTATATTATTATCAGCTTTTCGTGTGTATTTTAGTCCAGACTCCATCTAATTAACCATCGTGATGACCTACGAAGACTGCCGACGGTCACATAACCCAATATAAATATAAACATAAATATAAATAGATAGCCACCTCGTGCAATTATACTTTTCTATGTCTGTTTGATTTCATGTTATAGGTTAAAAAAATAAGTTAATCATCGTTTTAGTATATGTAAGAGAATAATAATCCCTTTCTTCATGATTAAGTACGAGCGTTAGAAGTAAGGGATTATCATTCTCTTACAAACTTAGAATATTGTAA